CGTCAGGATGAATTACAGGAGTGACAGAAATCTGGGCACGACCCGGAGGCTATAAAGAGCTTGGGGTGATCTCTGCAATATGTCTGACCCAGGAGTCGTTCCAGTGTACGGGCAAGGACTGGTGCGACCACGAAGAGGTTGCAGCATTCCCTTGCTGTGCTGTGGGCTACACTGGTGCCTGCTGGAGCTTGGGAGCAGCGTGCAGTGCTCGGTGAGATGAGGAGCCTGCTGCCAGTCACCTGAATTCAGTGTTCAGTGCTCCCCAGGCCGTCTTAAACAAACCTTCCATGTCCCAGCTTCCTTTGGCATCATGCTTCACTTGTTTTTTGGCTGTGCGCCAGAGGTATGGCACATACATACCACTTTTCCTATAACCTGGTTTCCAGAGGAGGCAAACGTGGGTGCCTGGGCTGGCAGGGAGCTCCTGTGCACCCCTGTGTAGCTGGGCTTAGATGCAAACAGGGGTGGTGGCTGCCTTTCTCCAAAGCACAGACCTCCTCGGTCATAAGGGCTTTGAACAAATGCGGTGGGCAGTTTTCTGAGCCACGTATCTTGGCTGACTGTGGGCTGCATTTCTTGAGGGTATCAAAAGGTATCTGACCCCCCCCACCTTCATGTGCCGTGCCAAATTCCAATTACACTTATCTTCTCAAAAAAATACAGCAATTGGAAACTTTGGTTAAGAGCTGGCTAATGTTGGTAAAATTACCTGCTTTCCTTAACCCCTTTCCTTGGACACAGCAGCACTTTTTTTGTTGTTGTTTCTCCCCTTCCATAAAAAAGCTAGCCTGAGGCAGAGGGTAAATCGTGGGAAAGTTTAGCTCCAGTGGCTGAGACTTGGGAAAGCTGCTAGCAGCGAGAAGCATCGCTCATAGTGGAGCTTTGCCAGGCTAGGTATGGTCCAGCTGCAAGCCAGTTAACTTGACCACGGCTCCTTTCTCAGGGGCGGTCCCCCAGTCCCCGGCTCTCGGGACAGAAGGCGAACACGGGGAAGGCCCGGTCTGCCCGCCGCACGCACATGATGCCGCAGCAGAGGTTTTTCGTGTCGCTGTGCCCCGTGCTCTGTTTCACCGTGGTGTTCTTCACCGTGCCGAGGGAACAAACTCCTGAGTCAGACTGCACACGGGAGGCCCGGATACTCAGGAGATTTCCATGACATCTCTCTCTGGCTTTAGCTGGTGTGATCCACGTCACTCTGAATATTTTTCTGTCTAACACAGCCAGCATCTCATCCAACCCCTTTTTCCTGGGTCCGTTTGAAAAGCCATCCCTCACGGCCTCTCTTTGGCAGATGCACGGTTGTGATGCTTCATGATATTAAGCGGGGCGGTTTCACGCAAGGAGAGGACATGATTTCGCGGCTAGCAGCTGCTGGCTAGTAGCCAAAAAAAATGGGGTGTTCGTGACCCACCGGAGCTAATTGCACCCATCACGAACATAAATGTCGTCAGCAGAACAGATACTCTGCATTTGACGTGCTTTCCCAGCCTGGCTAGGATGACAAATTAAACCTCCGTGCATGAATATTTCAGACTCTCTTTGGGAGAGACCCAGCTCTGACACAGACCAAGGCTTCAGTGAGTTTACCGGTACCTTTATCTTTATCAGTACCTTCTCCCCTATTGTAGAAGGGCTCCACAGGGCTGCTTTAGAAGAACCCGTTTATTGTAGCACCACCTGCCCACCTACACCGTGTCGTATTGACAATCTCACAGCCCCAAACTCCACAAGTGTGTTTATACAGTTATGGCTTGGGTTTTATTTAATTTCTGCTATAACCAAGTGTTTGTCAATGTTTCCTCACACTTTTTTTTTTTTAAATCTCCGTATTATTTGGTCTTCCAGCATATTATTAAGAATGTGGAACGTCCTGTAATATTTTAATAGTTGCCACCTTCATCACTGTGTCTGGTTTAAGTGTGGTGAATCCTTCACACTTACTTGTTTATTTATACATCATGTTCATTGTGGGACTCCTAATGTGCAGGGCTCCCGAATTTGTGTTGCTGTACTGTATCCTGCTCTTTCTCAAAGTGTTCTGTGGTATAATTTGTAATGTAGTGGTCTCTGAGGCTTGGCTGTGCATTTTTGACTCGCATCTTTTTCTAGTAGCTGTCTTTGCTTTAGTGTCTTCTGTGAATTATTGCCAATAACTATTCCTGGGACTGTTAAAATCGTCCTGCTCTCAGAGTGAAGGTGTGGGAGCATACCCTATACCTCCTCGTCCTCCTCCTCCTCCTCAGCTGCTGAAATCACTTTTCTTCTCTGGAATGCGCTCAGAGAATGCTAACATGGCTGCGTGTTTGGGGCTGCGTTGTTCATTCCCCTTGCGTGAATTTTCACAGATAAATGGGCCACTCTTTTGCCTTTGTCTTGGGGACCCAAATGCAGGACAAGAAAACTCGGCGACTAAGCACTGCACTCGCTTTTTCTGGGACCTTAAAACTTCGATTTACCATCAGTTTGCTTGATGGTAAAACTGAAGTGCCTCTGTCAGTGTGACTTTGGTATAGCACATGTTTCAGGAGACACATACAGCTTTTTTTGTAGTGAAGACCCACACAAGTCACTTAACCCTGCACAGGCAAATGCAAAAATTCATATACCCTGCCCTTCGCTTTTTGCAACACTTTGGGTTCCTGCTCGAGAAGACCACACAAATGAGCAAGAACAGGTAAAATAGTAAGATTTAAAAAGTCTAATAAATACGGCATTGGCATTGTTTAACAAAGGGGGTTTGTACACAGCGATTACCCGTGAGAATTCAAGGTCATTTTCTGTCACAGCAGACACTCCTCGGGAGTACCAGAATGATGCCCTTCCAACTTCTGCTAGCTCACTACGGAAAAAATAACTATCATCTCCACTAACAGCTCGATTTGTTTTCTACTCTCTAGGACTGCCTTAAAGCTTGTCAAGAACAGATCGAGGCGGTGCTAGTAAACAGCCTTAGGCAAGTCCGGCAGCAGCAACAGCAAAGCAATCCTTCTAAGACGGTGGACGAACTGGACCAGGCCAGCACTCCCACAGATGTGAGAGATATCAACCTGTGAGGACATCAGCACAGAAAGTCATGCTTGCTCCCCCAGCCCCTTTATTTTTGTTATTATTTTTAGAGTGAAATCTCTTTTTTTTTTTTTAATCTGCTCCCACATAGAACGTATTTAAAGCTCTTTTAGGTAAAAAAAAAAAAAAACTACAAAAACTGAATAATGAAAAAAAAAAGCATTTGGTGCCTGTGATGTTCTACAGAAGGGAATCCCACAATATATTTGGTAATTGCTATTTGATTATGTATCAGTGATATTAAATGCTTATAAAAGCATACAAAGTAGTTAGATAAATGTAAGCCTGCATTTGTGGGAACAAAGTAGAGTATACTTGTCTGTGTATTATGACCTAGTGCATACACCCCTTTTTTAGATTTAAGAAAGGAATCGTGTGTGCGATTTTATGGCTTGACTAGATTGCAAAGCAATAGAATAAGGGGTTTTGGGCAAAGTGGGAAAAGATCCCTGAAGCAATTGAACCATTTTGAATGCAGAAGAGATTTGCTGATCTGTCACCTCTGTTATTAGTCAGAAGTGTTTGTTGGATCTCTGTATGTTAGTTTTGTTTACTCTTGCTGTCTGTGGTAGCTGCTACCTAAGAAAGAAGATGCTTTATTTTGCCAGCCAGAAGAGCAGGTGGTTTTTTGGTTATGTGGGTTTGTTTTTTTTTTTTTTTTTTTTTTTTTCCCAAAATCCCCTCTCCCCTCTTGACTTTTTCTACTTTTCCTTCAGAAATGGTTCATTCTAAACACAGAAGCATCTTTGGCATAAGGGCAATCCCGTTTACCCAACTGTGGGCCAAGCCAAAGTTACTGAGTGTTCACGTTAGATGGGGGAAATGCACCAATTAATTCCGACCAGTCAGCTAATCAGACTGCCTGCGACCTTTGGATTGCAAGATGCGGTGGATCATCTGTGAAAAGCATTATATTCCTTTGCAGCGCTAATGCTTCACGTCAATGTTAACTTTTGGCAGCTCCTTAGCTTGGCCGTAAAGACATTTAAATGATGCTCTGTCCATCTTCCTTTTTAACTCACTGTGTTAAAGAAGATGAGATTTGTTTTGATCCCTCTTCTACCTACCCATCTTCCCCTACTGCCCCCGCACACTTTTTCAGCATTTCATTAACTTTATTGATCCACAGTGAGCGTTTTTGTAAACCATTTCATTCGAAAAGCACTTTGAAAATTGTTCCTAAGGGATTAAATGAGATGGTTTATGATGATTTTGCCAAGCAAAAAAAAAAAAAAAAAAAAAGAGAAAAAAGAAAAAAAAAAGAAAAAAAAAAGAACGAAAATGTCACAAAAGCAAAGCATATAGCTTTTTATAGTCAATATTTTCCAGTATCTGGTGTACTTGGTTAGTTGTGGTGTTGCTGGAAATACCAACACCTGCTTCAGATGACATTCCTGTCATGACATTCCGGATCAAAGCCTGACAATTTGTATTGTTCAGTGTCACAGAAGGATCCTAATACCACCTGCATGCTTATCTATGGACAACGAAAGAAAATTGCTGGTGCAAAAGACACGAGTGGTAGACATCAAGGTGTGTGACTTGGAGTTTTATTACAAAGGCGTATTCAGTGTACTTGAATTTATTTTTCTGCTCCATCTGTAATGAAGAGGCATTTAGATGGCAAAGGAGTTGGAGCAACTTTTTTTTTTTTTTTGCACAATTGTATTAACAGTTTGCAAATTATACAGTATGAAGCTGTTGGTTGAAATGTTAATGTTTGCATTTTTAAGACAAAAATCCAGAAAGAACGTGCTACTTCGAAGAATATTATATGAATGGACTTAGCCGTATTTGGCTAGATGAGGGTAGACAATGGAGTAAGATTCTAAGGTTTTGTTGTTTTTTTGGTTTCTGGGGGTTTTTTGGTTTTGTTTTGTTTTTTTTTTTTGCGCTGCTAAGAAGCTATGATTTGTTTCATTCTTATTCACATTAACAGTACTTAGCTGTATTGTTTCACTGAGTGTGCTGCTATTTTATAAACATTTTTATAATATATTATTTTACTGCTTAAATTTCAAATCCTGAAGTAGATGGTTAAGTGGAGATATGATGAGTTCTTTGATTTACTGGAAATGCCCTGTACAGTTTGTTTTTTTTTTTTCCTAATAGCGTGTTCATGATTTTTTTTTTTTTTTAGTTTATTTTATTTTTTTCCTTCTTTTTTTT